CTGGACAATTATCATCAATGCATAATTTTTTTTTTTCCTAGCATGCTAGGCAAGTCTGTCACTGAAGTGCATCTTCAACCCCTTCTCCAGTGACTTTATGTTCCAGTAGTTTGTTGCTAATTCACATTTATCACCAATCACAAATTCAAAACAATTAGGAGAAAAGGTGATGAGAACTTTACAGTGGTTAAATCAAGGTGTAAACACATACCAGTCTTAACACCAAAGTTGAGATGAAATATTCTCCCTGGGGGCAAACGGAATGTCAGATTTAAATCTAATAAAATGTCTTTAGCTCCAAGTACAAGGATATACAGGACATAGAAAAACATGTCTACTATAACCACCACCAAGCCAAAGCTAACATATAGGAAAATCTACTAAAACAAACTACTCAGTCTCTTCAACAAATAAATTTCATGAGGAAATATGAAAAATAGAGGAAGGGAGGAACAATTGGAGCTTAAATGAAATTTAATGGACATACTAACCAAAGACATTTTTGATACCAATTCAAACATCTATAAAAAGACATTTATGGGCTGGAGAGATGGCTCAGTGGTTAAGAACACTGTTCTTGAAGAAGACCGGGGTTAGAATCCCAGCACCCACATGGCAGCTAACAACTGTCCCTAACTTCAGTTCCAGGGGATCCAACAGCTTCTTCTGTCCTCCGCGGGCATTGCATGACATGGGTGCACTTACCAACATGCAGGCATAACACTTATACACATAAAATAAAAATAATAGACATTTCTGCCAGGCATGGTGGTGTAGGTCTTTAATCCCAGCACTTGGGAAGCAGGATCAGGGGGATCTCTAAGTTCAAGGCCAGTCTGGTCTACATAGAGAGTCTCCAGGCCAGCTGGGGCTACAGGGAGACCCTGTCTCAAAAAGATACCCCCACCCCCTGCCAAAAAAGAGACATTTCTGTCTGCTCTCAGCAGACGACCAGAGAGCGCCAAGCCCTGGCCTCCCTTTGGCCTCCTTCTGGCATAAGGGCTGAGAATGCAGGGGATTGCCCAAGAGCCCCTGGATCCTGCCTCCACGTGGTGGTCCTTTTAATAAGATGATGCATTACAGCGGTCCCTCTGCATGAAATAACTACCATCATCATGACTTCAGCTGAGCCTGATCGCTAAACATCATCATAATTGGGCTTGATGACGGTTGTGCTCATTCATTAAGGGAGGGCCAAGCAGGGTCATTGGATCCTCACCAGATTATCCAGCCACTCTTCCCAGCCAAGTGTATGTAATTTGGTCCTAAACACACATGACCTCCTGGATTTGGAGAAGGCTAAAGTATACAATCGTGAAGTCTAGGAAGAGAAGGCATGACCCATGCTGGGTAAAGGCTGTCCAGTGTGCATACCCTTAGGACATACATAAACCTCAGCAACCCCTCAGTTATCTCAGTAAGTAAGCTCAATAAATTCATTGGTTCCCCAGTAAAACTTTAATCAAACATTGGCTTGACACTAGAACCTTAAAAGGGAATAAACATTGCTTAGCATCCCCAGGAAAAGAAGTCTCACAACAGATAGAAAATTTATGTTAATGCTATTATGTCTCATAATCATTAAAAAAAAAAGAAGATGCAAATGTAAAAGATGTTAAAAGGATATGATAATGGTGATACTTTCCAAAGTAGACAGAAAAAAATGAGAAAGCCTAAGCAAGTGATGAAGGTCTACGTAGGTTTCTTATGGTATACATAGGATGAGACAAAAATAATACACACATAATCTTAAAATTCCTAAGGTCATATTTTAGGCAACAAGTTGGAGAAACAAAATATATATCTACTCAAGGTTTATCTGAGAATATTTGTTTTTTTACCCAATCTTCATTTATATAGCACATGATAAATTAAAACTACCAGATTGGTGGAACTAACCTTTTTGGATGTTCAACAGCTATCGTTTGAGGCCTAAACTAATGTGGTCAGAGGGACTTAAAGGACAGTTTTTACCCCTTGCCCTCCAAGACTAAGTTCCAAGAGACTATAGAACATCTCTCAAAATGTCCTGTAACTGGTCCTGTAACTGTGGTGAGTCACCTGTCCTCTTGTTCAGGGAGGCCATGAAGACCCCAGGAGATGGACTTGACGCAGTGTCCAGTCTACAAAGAGGAGGGTCAACTCAGAGGAAACAGCTCATGCATGCTTCCAAGTGAAGCGAGACATGGTCAAGCAGGACCTTTGACTTATGTTCACATAGATGGAGCTGGTAAAAGAAAGGAGTCAGGAGCTCCTCCCAAGCCCATGTGACCCCTGAGATCCTCAAATGACCTAAAGTGTAAAAATAAATTGATTTATTTGGGCCAACGATATGGTCTTCAACACCCAAAAGGAAAGTATAGCTGGGCATGGTGGCACACCCCTTTAATCCCAGCACTTGGGAGGCAGAGACAGGCAGGTCTCTGTGAGTTCAAGGCTAGCCTGGTCTACATAGCAAGTTCCAGGTCAGCTGGGGCTACAGGGAGACCCTGTCTCACAAAAACCAAAAAAAAAAAAAAAAAAAGTATAACCAAAGAGTAAAGTCATCAGTCATATTTTTTTAAGAGTTCAAGGGATTACACTTGCCAGATAATAGGCTTAGTCTATATAAAAAGTTATTTAGACAATTATTTCTCATTGTTGATTTTGCTCCTAACCAGAAAATGCTTCTCATATGTAAGACTTCAAAGCCTGGTATCCAATATTGTAGTGCCCACCTGTAGCTAAGGGAGACAACCAGCTATTGTTCTAAAATGATGGATAAATTTGTTTTCTCCCCCTATCTAGAAGCCTTTGAGAGGGAACTGACACTGATTCTAACCACTCCAACAGCTATCAAAATACCTGAAAGCAAATCCTGAATCCATCACTCTAGAGTCCAAGCCTTGGAAGACAAAAGAAAAATGTGGAGGAACGAGGGATACTTTTGGAAGCTCTCATCAAGAAATTCCAATGGACTCTCATATGAACATTCTAGTTCCTTGTCTAGAACTTGTAATGCCAATTACTCTTGCCTTTACTTCTTCACATCTCCTATTCACAATTCAAGGACTTTCTTTTTCCCCTAGAGATAAGAGTCATGTGATTTGGGAGTCTTTTAGACAGATCCACTGGAGGGGTACTCCAACTGCCTCACCCTGCATCCCTGTTCAGCATGGAAGAAGCCAGAGTGGTCTGCGATCTGATTCCCTATGGGCAATTTGGGTAATCTCTTCAGAAGATGGTATGATAAGAACAGGAAGTAGGAATTGGCTAGGCAGTTAGGGTAAAAAAACCCCAAAGAAAAGTAGCCAGTTTCTTGGCTAAAACTCACAATGTCCTTGGGCCTCTTAGCAACATACTCCGTTCCAAAGGTCAAAAATGTCAAAAATATTTAGGAGCTTTTATCTAATCCTTAAAATATTTTAGGGTTACCTCTTGAGAGGGAAATAGAGTAGCCAAAAGCCCCACTTAAAAAAAAAAAAATCAAAGAAGAAGAAAGAGTACCTGAGGTTATCAGAAAAAAAGTGATGGGGAGATATGGGAGGAGTTGGAGGGGAGGATGTGGGCATGGATTTAATCAAAGAACCTTATTTCCATGTATAAAATCAAAATAAATTATTTTTTTTTAAAAAACTTTTTTTTTCTGAGTTTTTACCCTAACTGCTTAGCCAATTCCTACCTCCTGTTTCTGAGTCAAGATCACTTTTCTACTTTAAAATTTCCACTTACAGCTCCTATTACTCCTTTCATCAACTTGTAGTTTGCTGTCTTAAGCACAGTATTGGCTGGTGTAACCTTATATTACTACCTGGGAAGTTAAAGCAAGAGGACTGTGCGTTCAAGGCCAGCCTGGGCTACAAAGCAAGGCTCAGTCTCCAAAAAATTTTTTAAATACTTGTAGCTTTTTGGTTTTGCCTTCTTTCTAGAAATTGCACATAGCACCCATATTTTATTCAATTAGTAATTCTGTACCATATAACTAAGAAAAAAGGAATGTGACCAAAAAAATTTGGGCAATGTTGAAATATACTTTTTTTAAAAAACTAAACTTTACAGTGCCTGTTTTTTTATCATGTCTCCCTATAGCCCTAGCTGGCCTGTAATTTGCTATGTAGATCAGGCTAGTCTCAATCTCACAGAGATCTACCTGCCTCCGCCTGTGCCTCCTGAGTGCTGGGACTAACACCATACACCCCCACACCTGGCTATTTTTTTAGAATTAAAATAAATATGTTTTATTTATTATTTTTATGTGTGCTGCCTGCTTGCATGAATGTAAGTGTACCCGTGCTGTGCACAGCCCACAGAAACTAGAAGAGGGCATCAGATCCCGTGAATGGCTGTTAGCTGAATGTGGGTGCTGGAAACTGAATCTGGGTCCCCTGCAAGAGCAGCCAATGCTCTTAACTACTGAGCCATCTCTCAGTCCCCTTGGAGCTCTTAAATGTCTGGAAGAATAGTCACTATAATGGTATTTTGGCTACAGTTATTTATTATTTGAACCCTTACTCTCATATTTTATGTGACTAGTGTTACCTAGAACTCATTTTAGAAGAAATCAAAACCCTAAAACATGTTTTGGCTTGTATATTTGATGATCATTTTTTTTTGTTTTACCTTGTTTTTGAGATGAGTCTTACTATGTAGCCCTGGCTTGCCTTGAACTCACAGAGATTCACCCACTTCTGCCTCCTGAGTGCTGAGATTAAAGGCATGCACCACAACACCTAGCTGTTGTTTTAAACAAGATACTGCTATGTAGCCCTGGCTGCAGTGATTCTGTCTCTGATTCCATGTGATGGGACTACTGACCTGTGCCACCACACCATGCTATTTTGAGGCGCTTAACTTGATAATTTAGAAATTTTGAGTATCACCTGAATAACACACTAGTGAGAGGCTTTACATTTATGGAAAAAACACTGAAATATGTATCTAGCAGAAACAGCCTATGAAAAGTTTTATAACCTAAAACATGAGAAGTGGCTGAAAAATATTAACTTGTATTGTGCACATACCTGGCAGAATTCACATGTAACCTGAATTTCATAAGTTGAACAGCTTATCACGTTCTCTTTTTCATGGCAAGGATACTGAAAAACAAAATAGTTTCGACACTGTTAGGCATAGTACCCAAGTACTCCTTGAAATGCATTTATTTAGGAAATGAAAGCACTGAGATAACTAACCACTGTCATCAAAAAAAAAAAAAAAATTCAGTTACTCTTAGGAATTTTTAATGACACAGTAGTTCTGAATATGAATATCTATATAAACACATTTATCGCAGGTATTAACATTTCCAATTCCACCGAAAGGTTAAGAAAGGAAGTTATTTAATTCAGTCTTTAGGGTTACAGTTGACCAGCAGTCATTAAAGCACTAACTTTTCACTTTTCAAGTCTGACAAGAAAAATAAGATCTAAGCCAGGCATGGTGGCTTGTACCACCATGCTTAAAAATCGTTGCTCAAGGGAGGCTAAGGCAGAAGGACTGAGTTCAAGGCCAGCCTAAGCTATAAAGAAAGACCTTGTTACAAAACAAACAATTACCCTCACCCTCCTCCACAACTTAATATTTCAAATTTTATAGTCAAATCTTTTAATTAAAAAAATAAATACACACACACACTCACACTTGTGATCAGGTTGTAAGCAGAACTCATCAAAATTTGTCCTTGAACATAGCTGATCTATATAAGCAGCTCTTTCATAATTTTATAAGTTGCTTATTATTAGTTTAAAAATAAGCACATCATACTGAAACTAGCAAGGTAAGTGGCCCATTAAAAAAAAAAACCCTGTCAACTCTTTATATTATTTTGGTGTATGTGTACATTGTGTGTGCTGTGTGGTGGTGTGTGTACCATGTATGGTGTGACTTGTATGTATTCAGGTACATGTGCACTGGTGTGCACATACATGTAGAGGCTAGAGAATCTTCCTTGACTGTGCTCTCATTTTTTGAGATAGGGTTTCTCACTAAACCTGCAACTCATCAATTCAGCTAGGCTGTCTGGCCAATGAGCTTCAGGGATCTACCAATCTCTGCCCTACCTCCCCCTAGTACTGCGGTTATAGATGTGTGCTATTGCTTGGTTTTTTTTATGTGGGTGCTGGGCATCTGAACTCATGACCATATGCTTGTGCAGGAGCCACCTGAATGCTGTCTCCTCATCCCAACTCTACCAACTGTTCATCTTATATATACTAAAACCCCATCAAGTGGTAAATACGGTAAACCACATTCTGATCAGAACAAGTTAGCAGTGTGTGGAGAAAATATTTCTTATAACTTTGCTTGTGTGTGATTTCAAGAATGTCTTGCTCAGAAAAGGCAGATATTTCTATGCAGAAATGTGTAACTAGCTATAGTTTGAGTCCTGAAGCAAAGGCTGTCCTGGTCTAGGAAACAGGAAGAGGAAACATTCTTTCCTTGCCCCCGGTAAAAGTGATTGTGGGTTCCTTTCTCCACAACTTCACATTAAGACTCAAAACTACTCTTGAATATTCTAAAGGTAAACCTGATTATCCACCTAGTAAATCTTACTAGCTTCAACCACTAAGAGGCTTTACCTATACTGAGATAAATCTGAGCTACTTTTTCTGTTTCCTCATCTCCTGCAAAGTGCTACTACTGCTAATACTCCATAACCCATCTGACATATCAGGTATCTCACTATCTTTTAAAAATGACCATGCATTTGCATATTCTCTTCCTACTATCCCAAATATACCCTCTCAGATAAATGCTGCCTATATTATCTGATCTAGGCCCAGTTTGAATGACAGTTCCTTTGTGATACCTTCCTTGTAATACAAATTGGTAATTTTTTCAGAACCTATCACTTTTACCTGGGGCAAGGAAAGAAAGTTTCCTCTTCCTGTTTCCTAGATCACAAAAACCTTTGCTTCAGGACTCGGAACTACAGCTAGTTACACATTATTACTACTATTATTTATTAGTGTGTGAATGCTGGGTTTGATGTGTATGTGTGGGCATACATGCAGAGATCAGAGAACACCCTTGTATAGCTGGTTCTCACCTACTTTGATGTAGGTTCTTGGGATGGATCTCAGGCCTTCAGCCATAACAGAAAGTGCTTTACTCACTGAGTCATCTCATTAGTCCCAAAAGCTCTTACTAAGTTTTCTGTATTAAGCTTTGTGTACAGCACCCATATTGGGTTTTAGGGTACAATTTATTACATAATATACATATTTCTTCTACTCTATCCCAAATAAACCATAAGGAATCATAACAGTAAAAAGGAAATCAAAACTGGCTCAAAGCCTGGTTGTAGCACTCATGAGAGACACAACCACATCCAGAGTTCTGAACCTTTGAGTTCTACTTCCCCAATAACAAAAATTGAGCAATACCATCTACCACCTTACAAAGTTGTATGCATTACAAGCAAGATATATAAAGCATCTAACACAATGTTTGGCACATTTGAATACCTGACAGAATTCTAGCTGCCAAATGTGACTACTGTTAATATAAAGCTGTCCTAAGCATACTTTTATCTACACAGTGTCTTACTTGCTGACAGCAAGCACAAAATAAATGTTCAATTATTAACTCAAAAACTACAACTTGAAGTGTTTAGGTTCACATTTACTTCTTATATAAGGAACAGCTCTTTACCTTACCTCAAAAAGACTGCCACCCTCCATATCTACAATGTAACCACTATACCTAAAGCTCACAGAACACAGAACAAGGGATGAAGAGAGCACTAATGCATCTTTCAATTCTCATCAATGAAGCTCCCTGAAACAACAAAGGTCCAGGAAAATAAAAGGTCACAAATGGGCAAAACGTAGAGAATAAGAGTCTACAGAATGTGGGTCCTTGAACAGGACTCCTATATTAAAATCTTTCCACCCAGGGCTCAGGGACCATTGCGGAAAACTGGGTGGAAGGACTGTAAGAGCCAGGGAGAAGGTGCTTGACCATACGGAAATAGTCCTACAGACTCCTGGCACTCTTCTCATACGAAACTACAGCAATGGTGTCAGTATGCACAAGACCCACACAAACTCAAGCAGACAAAAACCCAGCACAGAACTGTGGAAATAGACAGCAGGCCCCATTCTTAGTCAATCATTGGCAGTTTACTACTGCTAGGTGAGGAAAAGCTGATCTTAAAGGAAGGAACTCTAGATAGGTTGACTAGACCCTCAGTGGATGAACTTCCACTAAGTAACATCTGAGGTACTAACTTGACAGGATAGGCCTTAACACAAATGGCAGAATGTATGAATTCAAATGGAGGAGGGGGGACTATGGGAGGGAGCCAATGGGGAAGGGCAAATAAAGATGGGTAAATTGTTCTGTATAAAATATACAAAAATTTGACCTCCCTCTGCTTCCCTGGGCCTACAGGACCCACAGGTCTCTCTCTGACCCGCAGGCCTCTCTCCAAGGTAAGTCCATTACGCCCTCCTTGCCTTGAGTCCCCCAGCCTCATTAACCCTCCCAATCTCCCCCGCTGGTCTCCCCTAGTTTGGGCCCTGTCCCATTCCTTGTCTTCGGGCCCCAGACCCCTGGGGAACCAATACTGCTTCCTGATCCTTTTCATCCAGACCAACGTAGTGCCTTCTCTGGACCCAAGAGAACTGCTTCTAGGCCTGGCCCCGCCCTCACCTCCCTCTGCTTCCCTGGGCCTGAAAGACCCACCCCAGGCCTCTCTCCTCCCACAGGCCTCTCTCCAGGGTAAGTCCATCGTGCCCTCTGTGCCTTGACTCTCCCAGCCTCATTCACCCCCCCCCATCTCCCCTGCTGGTCTCTTCCTCCTAGTTTGGGCCCTGCCCCATTCCTTGTCTTGGGACCCCAGACACCTGGGGAACCAATACTGCTTCCTGATCCTTTTCATCCAGACCTACATACTGCCTTCTCTGGGCTGAAGAGAACTGCTACTGGGCCTAGCCGCGCCCTCACCTCCCTCTGCTTCCCTGGGCCTGCACCACCCACCAGCCTCTTTCTGGGAGGTGGGGGCTGACCTTTCCTCTTCCTTTGCATCCAGACCAACCCAGCTCCTCAGTGCAGGCCCCAGGAGTCCTTGGAGCCTCTTCCTGCCCCACCTGCCTTTGCATCTCTGGGTGGCATGGCCACCAACTGCCCTAGACCAGCATCTTTCCTGGGCCTGGCTCCCAGGCCAGCCCAACCCCAAAATTCCTGAGGCTAAAATCGTTCCTGGAGAGATCCAGACCTTAGGAGAAAGCCTGAAAACATCTGACCCTCATCTGAATTGAGCCTCTGTGGGAACTCCTGAAGACAAAAGCAATCTGGCCACTCCAATATAAAATCAAAAGAGAGAATCAGAAGCTTAGACGAACCAGCTTTTCATTCCCAAAAAGAATAAACATAAAGTTCACAAAAAGAAGCAGACCTAAACTTAAAGGCCTGAGTATCACACAAGAATCAGAAACTACAAAAGAAATTCACATATCAAAATCACAAAGAAAAAATAACAACATGAGAAAATAAAATAACATATCCCCACCAAATACTAATAGTCCTCTAGAGGAGTACAAGGAGAACCCCCTAGAGATAATGCTGAGAAACCAAAATAACATATCCCCACCAAATACCAATAGTCCTCTAGAGGAGTACAATGAGAACGCCCTAAAGATAATGCAGGACATGGAACTCAAAAGATCAATTATAAATATGATAAAAGAATTCAATGAATTTAAAGAACACACACAAAAAAGAAATCAAAAATAACTAAAATAAGATTGAGATAAACTTCTGAATGAATTTACAAGAGATAGAAACATTGAAGAAAACTGAAAACAGGTTGAAGAAGTAAGTGCAAAACTCAATAACAACAGAAACAACAACAGTGGAAATCTTCACCTCTAGAATGAATGAAATGGAAAACAGAATATCAACACTGAAGAATAAAGTTGAAGAATTGGACAACTCAAGCAGAGACTATAAAAAAATTTTAATAAGAAAGCACAAGAATGCAATATGCAGGAATTGTATGACACCATAAAAAGACCAAACTTACAAATCATAGGCACACAGGAAGGAGAATACCAAAATAATAGCATGGACCAGATCACAACAGAATCATAGA